TCTGCTGTTTGTCATCACAGGGCTTTCCCTGCCACTTTCCTGAGTAGAGATAAGAGGCATCTAAACCGCCATGAGGTTGACGATGAACTGACAGAGACAGTACATTAGTTAAAAATATTCCAGAGGCAGACCTTGCGGCTCAGTGGGTTAAGCTACTGCTTGGAACTCCTGCATCCCATATCAGAGTGCCGGTTTGAGTCCTGCCTGCTCTGCTTCCGATTCAGCTCTCCAATAATGTGTCTGGAAAGACAGCAGATGATGGTTCAAGTACTTGGGTCCCTGCCACCCACCTGGGAATCCTGGATGGAGTCCCACGCTCCTGGCCCTGTCCTGGCTATTGCAGGCATTTGGGGAATGAACCAGTGGGCAGAAATCAATTAATCAATCAATCAATCAATCAATCTCTCTCCCACACACACACACACACACACACAAACACACAGTCTACCATTCAGATAAATAAATAAAGCTCTAAAGAACATTCCAGACCTTTAGGCTCAGGATAAACTTAAGATAGAAGATGAACACCTGGTGGCTACAGTAAGACATTTCTCATTTATCCTCCCCTCAACCAGGACAGTTCCCTCTGAATGTCAACCTGTTACCCCTAATCCTTGTCCAAATTCAAACATGTGTTCTCCCTCACTGGCTCTCAAACCTACGCCTGCCTATTGGGGTAAATGATATTCCCCTCTCTCAAATTTCCATGCCCAGAAACCTGGGAGCCATCCACAAAGCTTCCTTCCCTTTAGCAACTAGAGTTGAGAGATCACTAACTTCTGTTGCTTCTGTGAGACTGCACCATATGAAATAAATGGTCCCACAAAATAGCAAGAACAACAATCTTACATGGATCAACCTTAGAGATCATTAATACCCAGGGAAGCCAAGACCCCATCTCTTCATCCCTTCAGCAGTTTTCTCACTACCGGCCTTTGCCTCTCATCTGGATTCCTATAGCTCCCTTCCAAAGGTCTTCCTGCTCCAGTCTCATCTTCTTCCAAGCCATCTTCTCAGGTCTTTCTGTTCACAGAAATGTGATGGCACTCCCTGCCTCAAAACCTTGACGACAAAGGATGCTCTTCTCCATCCGAGCGCACAAGGGTCTTCCCAAGCCAGACCTGCTTCCTTCCACTTGAACCACATCACATCCTTCCTCGGGGCTGGCGTTCTGCTTAACTCTATGGACATCTGAACGGATGATAGTTCACCCATTTTCTGGAATGTTCTCCCCTCCATACCTTCAAACCTTCTAATTCTCACTCTCCTTTCAAAATCATCTCAGTTGTGATATACTTCAGAAAACCCTCATACCTGCTACACACACACATACACACACACACCCCCTCTCTGGTCTAGACTGGGGTCCTGTCCCACAAGCTCATCTCATATTTTGTACCACGGAGTTCCACAGCAATGACCTACTAAATGTGTATCCCCTTCTATCATTGGATGAATTGTTTCCCTCCAAAATTCATGTACTAAGGCCACAACCACTTGTACCTCAGAATGCACCTGTAGATATAGGACTTTTAAAGAGCTAGTTAAGTTAAAATGAGGCTGTTAACGGTGGATCCTAACTCAATCTGATGGGTATGCTGATAAGCAGAGGAGATTAGGACTCCAGAGGCACACGTGCACATCGACCTGGTGGAAAGAAAACAAGGGGGCCGCCATTTGCAAGTCAAGGCCTTGAGGATATCAACCCTCCTGGCGCACTCATCTTGAACTTCTGGCTTTCAGAAGACTTCATTGTGAGGCAATGATTTTCTGTTACAGAAAGCACCCAGTATTTTGTTATGACAACCCTAGAGAACTAACCCACATCCACTCCCTGCACTGAGCAGCACTTCCTGGGATGCAGCAGGTTTAACTCATTCTCTGCATCCCCAGAGCCCAGCACAGTGCCTGGCAGGGGGCATGGGCTTCCTATGCCCTTGAATGAGGAAATGAATGCATGCATTGCTGTGCTACAGAGAAAAGTGGGAAGCACTTTAGAAAAGGCACACATTTAGTGAAAAAATCAACTGCGGGCTCAACACACTTCTTTGAAAGTTCAACAGCTGAAATTACTGGTCAAGTTTTTTTGTTATCAAATACTGTCACACCAGACTTCACTCCACGAAGGATTTCTGAACAGCAGGAAATGGTCACCTCATTTAAAACCACTATTTAACACACCTAATTCCCAAAACAGCTATGGTTTGTCCCAGCTCATTTTAGTGGGACCTACTTTTCTAGGGCTGAGGACTTCCAGAGTCACTTAGCTCAGTCATGATTCTCAATTCTAACAGTCCCCTATTAGCCTTAAAAAATTAATGCAATTCCTAATCACCTAATTTTCTATCAAAGAAAGCTGTGGACATTGGAGAGAACAGAGCTCATTAAAAATTAAATTTTTCCAATCTCCTCATACAAACATTTGTTTATAAGATACATTGCAGCATAAAATTCTTAGGGTCTGCATGCAAGATAGATTGTAAATAGAGGAGCCTTCATAAAGGCTATATAGTTCAGGGCTTACCTTCTCACTCTTCTCCCTGACTATAATCTCGCCTTGCTCTAGTCAATCTTCCACAGTTTGCAGGCTTCTTGCCTATAACAGACCCTTTTTTTTTTTTTTTTTTTTTTGACAGGCAGAGTGGACGGTGAGAGAGAGAGACAGAGAGAAAGGTCTTCCTTTTTTTGCCATTGGTTCACCCTCCAATGGCCACCACAGCTGGCGCTCTGCGGCTGGCGCACCGCGCTGATCCGAAGGCAGGAGCCAGGTGCTTATCCTGGTCTCCCATGGGGTGCAGGGCCCAAGCACTTGGGCCATCCTCCGCTGCCTTCCCTGGCCACAGCAGAGAGCTGGCCTGGAAGAGGGGCAACCGGGACAGAATCCAGCGCCATGACCGGGACTAGAACCCGGTGTGCCGGCGCCGCTAGGTGGAGGATTAGCTTATTGAGCCGCGGCGCCAGCCCTATAACACACCCTTAATCAAACTACTATCCTCTCCAAAAATCTCAATTCCCTTTACCCACCAGATGTAACCCAAACTCAGAGTCCTCTACACTCTGGTTCCAACTTAAATTTCCTAATCACTTGCTCTAATATGCTTTAGTAACAATCATGATCTTCATCCAGGATGGATGACCCACTGGTCATGATGGTCTCCCGGGCTTTACCTTCTGAGCCTGTCTGCTGGTGGAACCACACTCAGAAAGCCCCCTTGAGTCCATCTGTCTAAACAAAGCCTTGCTAACCTTCTGGAAGCATTTAAGGTTCCACCTCCTCCATGAGGCCTTCCATATCTTATTAGTTGTCGCTTCTTTGAATGTAGACGTGATAGCCCATACTGCCTGCTGGTGTTACGGTCCATAAATTACTCTGTACACATGTTAGCTGCACTTGTGTCTGTAGTTCATTTCCTAAAGTAGCCTGAAAAAATATCTGTGTTTCCTCACACAGCAACTCAGTACTTTGTGCTCAGTGGGTTCTCAGTAAATATCCACAGTATGTTTTAACCATGGCACAAAATTTCTCCTGGTAGCTGCTCCCCCACATCCTAAAGCAGGACTCAGTAGCTGACCTTAAAGCTGTAGTAACCAGCTGTAGCAACAGTTCCTCCCACTGCCAGATTCTCCTTTGAGGGTAGGCACGACTGTCTCCCATTTGCCCACAGTCCTTACTACAACTGGCAACTCTGTCAATGACTTCATACCCTATAGCATGTAGGATTTCCAATTAGTTCTAAGCCTGGACTCTGGGATTCTACTTTTTGCAGCCTCCAAAATGTTTGCAGAGCCTCCAAATTTGGGCTTCTACTCTGAATCCAGCATTTTTCAGCTGTAGCCTTATACCTGGCAGTTGGGTCTTCTTAGGGTACAGAATGAATGTCTAATCTTAAGGTCACGTACAAAAAGGGATGGTCACTCAGACCATGGCCCCACCAGTTACACCAGCAGCACCACCTACTGGGCCCTGCCCCACATACCAGACTAGACAACTGAGATATCAGTGCTGTCCCAGACTAAATGCACCTGTTGGATACTGTGATCTAGCCAGCTAGCCACACCCCCTTCCTGCAGGAAGCCAAATCCTACAGCTAGGTCAACGCCTCTAGCACTCACTCTCCTAGGTCCTACCTTGCTCTCCTTTCCCATATGCCCAGTAGCATCCTAGAATGCCTCTTAGCCAAGCCTTTCAGGGCTGCTGAAAGCAAATGTCTGTGAATTTCTCCTATACTTCACAGAAGTGGGTCAAGAGATATGACAATCCATAAATTGGTCAATGTTTCTCTCGAAGGTATAAACTGGTGGCAAGGTCATTGTTTTACTCATTCTTGTCTGTATTCTGAGCATCTGATCATTCTTAGGCACTCCCTATATTTGTGAGTGGGTGTGTGTACATTTGCATGTCTAGATGGATGGATGTATTGTATACATAGATAGATAACGTAAATGATGTATGGTTCCAACATCATTCACATTTCAGACTGCTTCCCTACATTTGTTTTTCTTTTTAGAAATCTAAAAGAAAAAAAAAATCCCATCTCTTGGGGCAAGCTGATTTACTTTCAGGTTAATTTCCCTAAAATTTCATGCCTGGGGCTAGTGGCAAAGGTTCCCCATAGCAAGAAGCAGGAAATCACGGAGACAAGAGAGAGATGGTCTTTGGAGTGATTGTTTTAAGAATACATTTTGCGATCTTACGATGAAGTTGTCAAGTGCATATAAAGGCACTATGATCATGATTTCACCCCTCATTAATATGAGGCTCTATGTTTTCTCAGGCCTTCAAAGAGCACTATTAGAAGCTCCACGTGAATCTACCAATATTCACAAATGCCTGAGGCGAGGTAGTGAGGTGAGCTGCCGTACAGGAGGGCAATGTCTCCTATAAAAGAAACCATACTCTGAAGACAACGGACAGGTCCAAGAGCCCTCTCCAGCCTGGCCTGAAGACCCCTGGCATCTGCCCAGGGATTTCTGAGGACCCTGAAGGAGGTGTCACTCACCAGCACAGTATCCCACGAGGTTGAGGAACTGCTCTTCCTTGCAGCTGGCTCTGCAGATCCCACTTGTGAGCGTGATGTGAGGGTGACAGGAGAGGCAGTCGGACTCCGAAGGCCCACGGCACTGCCTGCAGGTTGGGTGGCATTCTGGGAGTGGGAGGGAATAAAAGCCAGGATTGAAATGAACAGCATGTAAACACATGACGTGTTCAGTGCAGGCCACATGTTACATTGAGAACAGACTTACACTCTGATCACTCCTAGAAGATTCGAGAGCAAGTCTGGCACATACTCAGAACTGGCCAAGCAATTGCACTTCTGGTATCAATGAGAATGCTCTCCATGGGTGGCGGTGGGGGACACATTTTTCTGCCAAGTGTGTTTTGGGTATTTATAACACCACTACTGGGGTCATACAAAATTATCAACTTAAAAATTAGCCTGCTATATAGATTTATTGAATTTCAAGTCTGTCCTGCGGATGCATTGGCAGGGCCAGGCCAAATGATTTGGGTGATCCACCCCTGTAAGTCTCAATAAAAGTACTATGAAATTTAGAACTATAAAAATTTCAGTAATCAACCACGCATTCCAGAAGGACAGCACAGCCATGGCTACCTCTGCAAGTCAGGAAGTTCAAATCCAAGTTCAAAGCACAAACGGCAGTAGTAAGACTCCCCCGTCCCCAATCCTATGGTTCAAAGAAAGAGCAAGAGACTTTGCTGCTCAGAAGTTCTGACAGACAAGTGACACAGAAACTTCTCACTCGAGCTGGATGCCAGCCAGACTCTCCCTGCGGGCCACAACTTGGATGACTGTTTTATCAGCAATACTTAATTAAAATACCAAGAACAGAAAATGTCCTCTTTGTGGAGGTTATCCTGAGCTGCATCTGGAGTTCAATCCCTCAGACAAAATTATGTCGAAGCTATGTCTTCCCCAGAAAAACCACCAAATTAACAAGTACTACACTGAGAAAAAAAAAAAAAAAAAAAAAAAAACAAAGCCAAGAACAACACTAACAACAACAACAACAAAACCAAGGGAGTCTCGATAAGGTGCCGGCAATAAAGATAAGCGTGGCAAGGAACCAAAGCAGGTTGCAGCTGCATTGCATTTCTGCTGCCAATGCAGGCAGCAGGAGCAAGCACATGGAAGGAGATTTAAGGATTTCCCTGCCAAGGACGAGGAGGTCTAACCAAGTTCAAGCCCAAGAGGAGGGGAGTTGAGGGACTGGAGCTGGGTAGAGCTGGCTGGGACTGATGAGTTTCCTCCTGGCCCATGGCTGGTAGAAAGCAAAGGCACAGATTTCAAGTACAATCAACCACCTCTCACTTCTGGCAAGAGGCCTAAGAGAAGATAAGGAGTTATAAAAAAAGAAAAAAAAGAGAGCCAAAAAAAAAAAAAAAACCCACTGATTAGGATAGCACTAACTATCACCCCCTTCTGCATTCCTGAGGCTCTCGACTTGGAAAATGCCTATGCCAAAGATACTGGATGATTTCCACCACCCACTGGAATATTTCCCATGACCTGGTGCCCTGCTGCTGGTGGTACCATCCATCGACGAGCTTCAAGCAGACAGAGAAAAGTTACGGTTTCTCTGACTCTCTTCCCCTAAGCCACTGAACACGCAGGGAAACCAACCTGGCTAGAAAACACCTAAGAACAGAAACAGCTTTCAAGGACAACCCAGTGACAAAGCAGTCAGGAACATCCTCCCACTGAGATGCCAGTGTTTAAAGGAAAACAACTCACCAGGACCCCGGAGAGATTAAAAAGGTTCTTGGAAAAGGGAAGACAATTCCAGAACAAAAATACTAGTTGGTCAGAAATCATCTAAATTTGTGTCCACTCTGAATTTCCCCTTTGGAATGTAAGGTTAGCTGAGACTAACAAATGTTAATATTTTAGAAATTTACCACACATATTTGGACTCCAGGAATACATGTAATACAATTTCCTAACAATAGGCTTTTTCCTATTAGCTGGCCTCAACAACTATTGAAAAAGAAAAAGGCATAGCTCTAATCCATTATAATTATAATAGCATGCATAAAGGTATATCCTGAAAAATAGATCACCAGGTTGAAAGTCACTGCTTTTGAGATGTGGGATTATCAGTGACTCTCACTTATAAACTTTAATTTTTTGGTTAAATATTTATTTATTTGAAAATCAGAGAGAGAGGATCTTCGATCTACTGGTATACTCCTCAGATGGCTGCAATGGCCAGGGTTGGGCAAGCTGAAGCCAGGAGCCAGGAGCTTCTTCCAGATCTCCCACATGGGTGACAGGGGCCCAAGCACTTTGACCATCTTCCACTGTATTCCCAGGCCATTAGCGGGGAGCTGGGTCAGAAGTGGAGCAGCCTGGACCTGAACTGGCACTCATATGGGATGCTGAGGTGGCAGCTTTACCCACTATGGCACAGAACTGGCCCCGATTTTAAACTTTAAAAAGAGCTATGCAATAGTGTATTATCATGAACTAAGTCCTGGTTCTTGCAGGGCATAAATAACATTATTTAGTCCATGAGTTATCTACTCAGATCACGGTCTTCTAGGCAAGAGAGGATCCCGTTCAGAGTTCACTCAGATAATTTAGTCTCTAGGGTAAAGCTAATTCTAACTTCTCATTACATCCTTACTCCCTTTTCAAACAAACAGAATTTCCCTTGTTCCCTGCACCCTATACCCTTTACACCTGCAAGTTCAAGACAAGGATTCACAGCCCCACACTAGTCCCTGGTACAGCCTGGTTTCTAATGATGGCATCTCGCAGCACTATGAAGACAAAACACAGGCCTGGGGGCATGGCCCAGCATGTTACACACTCACCTGTGCAAGTACCTTCCTGGTTGAAGTAGCCGTCTGGGCACTGAGAGAGGCACTGCCCATCCAACAGCACCTGGGACGGCCTGCAGACTGTGCAGTTCTGTGGGCTCTTTCCTGCGCAACTGAAGCAGGATTGGTGGCAGGCTGGGAGAAAGAGAAAGCAGAGGAGACCATGAGGGATGCCCCACGTGACACAGACAGCAGCTACCTCTCTGCTGCTAACATATCTGGGTTGGAGTATGTTTTGAACATCCACATGGTTTTCCCAAGAGCAGAGCACACACCTTGCGTACTTCTTTCTAAAGGCAACCTCCCACAAAGCAAGCATTTGTAGAACAACTCAGAATCAGTAAAGCACAAACGTCACATAATAGAAATAACCATTTGTAGAGTTCCACATTTTTTTCAAGTTCCTGTCCTCAGAGAATAGCAAATCAAGAACAAGAAACCATAAAGCAGTTGTCCCACCCTTGGGACAGCTCTCTCGCTGTCACTAGGTGCTGAGCCGCCAAGCAGGCTGCATAAGAGAAGCTCAACATAACAATGTCACAGAAGTTTCTACAATGTCCACTCTGTGATGGCGACAGGATATACACAGATGAGCCTTTTGAGCTGTTCAAACCAGCTACAACAGTGGGCCCACAAGCAGGCAACGGGAATACAATGAATTAGAGGCAGGGTACAAGGGGACATCAAGAAAAATCTGTGGAGAAGTGGAATTCAAAGCTAAGTTTATTTTGGGGGAACATTTTTGAAGTCCATGCATAGTCCATTCCTGATGCAGATTTTCCACAAACATTTTGAAGATCCCTGGCATAGCACAGAGAATGAGAACATTGCTTCACAGGGCTACATGACCTTGACTAAGTTAAACAATTTCTCAGTGCTCCTGCTTCCTCCTCTATAAGGGCACAAGGACACAAGCAGTGCATCCAGCATGGGGGGCTGTGGACACTAATTGAGCTGACGCATGCAAAGTTCCTGGGTTGGCGCTGGACACCTAGTAAGGGCTTTATAAATCTTAACTGTAATTATCAACATTCAGTGCTATGTTAGCACAGGTACAAAGAGGAAGAAAACCTCTGCGCTTGCCTTCCTCAGATCTTCAAGGACAACGAGATATTTGTGTCATTTCCTGAGAGCAGCCATTTTTATTCCCTGTGTTTCTGATTCTTTGACCTGTGGAACCATGCTGATTCTGGAGGATTACATGACCAGCTTATCAGCATGCCCCTCATGGGCAAATACCAACCCAGAGCCCAAGGCTCACTGCCTCCCTTATCCATACTCTTCTGCTCCACTGTTCCTGCCTCAGACAAGGTTTGGACGACCAGAGACAGCCCCTACAAACCCCAGGCACTGAAGCTGCCCCAACTACCCAGCCCTAAACCTGCTTACACTGCCACGTATATTCCTCCTGGGAAACCGCAACAGAGGCTGCTGCCCACCTTCCCCTCTGCCTCCTGTCTGACTGTGCTGCTTCTCCATGGAGCTCTTCAAGTCCTGGACCGCCCCATTCTCTTGGGAACTGTGAGTAAATCACTCTAGTTTCAGATACAACAGAATCCTGATCTGTTGACCTTGCCACAGCTGAATAATAAAACCTGCATTTTAAGACAATCAGCCATTCCCCACCAATCATCGTTAAGCCTCACGAAGTCCAGGTGCTGGGGACCCTGGGATGAGTAAGACAAAGTCTCAGCTCTTCCCCATGTGGGTGACACATTCTGCACGGTGGACAAGATCCACCAGGCTGCAGAGGCAGCCCGCTGAATTCCTCTTGCTTCTATTCCCAAGTACCCAGAAGACTCACAGATCAGCAGGATCAGAAGAACCAGAGTTCATTTTATATTATAGGATGTCCCTTTCCACCAGCCTCTAATAAATTAACATGTAATCTGTGACATAGAGCTGATATTCAGCTAGGACACTCTGGTCTATCCGTAGTGGTTGTTAAAGTACTCACACTGCTTGCTATACGGCCATAGCTCTAAGCTTCTATCACTTTGCTACAGCCTTGGTCTCACAGCTAACATCCTGCCTCCCCCATAACCCAGCACCTACAGGGTTAACACCTGTACCCGGAGACCCTGCAGGACCTGCTCAAGAGCTGAGGCCAATGTCCATTCTCATTGGACAGTGCCCTTGCCTCACTGGTTGATTAATATTTTGATTATCGTCCCTGGGTTGACTGTAGAATTTTATATCCATTCAAGACATTTTTTTATTACATGAAAAATAGGAACTAGAGCCCTATATTTTTAATTAATTTCCTTTGTCTAAATTTTTTTTAGATTGCCTTATAAACAGCTCTGTTGGCACAAGACACAATTAGGAATTCAATTTGTAGAATCTTCTTCAAAAACCAAAATGGGAATAAGTAAACTGATGTTGAAACAAATATAATTATAAAGGGATATACATTAGCCTCTTATGTAAGACATGTTTAACAAAAATGAAACATCATGTAATAGAAATTCAGGTGGCAATCTCTCAAAGAACTGCTAAATTACATTGTCAACACAGAGCTTTCCAGGATGAGATGTGGAAGCAACTTGAAGCAACAGCTTTTCTCTACATACTAAAATAAATATCCTTAGGATAATACCGATATGTTTATAGTAACTTCATAAGATTGCTAAAAGCCCCAGCTCTTTCTGTTAAATCACCCTAATACACAGGAAATAAAGACGCATCACAGTGGAATTGAAAAAAAAAAAAAAACTGAGGAAAGATGAATTAACATATTTTATTCCATCTCATTTGGTCACAAAGTCCATGTGACAACTTGGATTGATGTGAATAGAAGTTATTTCCGAGTTACATAAAATAGGAAGGGAAGAGGACACACAAGTTAAAAAGGCAATGGGCCCAGAAGAGCAGGAGACAGTCCCCGTGCCACCACCTAGATTTCAGAAGCAAGCCCCACCGAACACCACCATGGCAGACTTCAGAATTGCCTTCGTTGGAAATATTTAAGAACCAACGCGATCATGAGCCAGCTTGCTGCTGTGAGCACACACGGAAAGGCGCGCTGGGTGATTTCACCTCGGAGTGTCTTGCTCTATAAAGGAAGTCCAGGCATATGCACCTGCACCTTTAAAACAAGCCCAGGGAACTTCAATCCTGTGGTGGTTTGGGAAATGTCTATGCTATGCCAGTGACTTTTATTGGGCTCAATCACTCCACGGAAGCTGAGCTGATAGCAGGCGTTCTGTGTGAAGTCTAAGACTCGTCAAGGAAGACTAACTCCATTACCGGACGTAATAGGGCAGATATTTAAAAGAAGTTCTATGAATAATTCCTCTTTGTAAAACTACATTTTTAGAGACTGCCTTTCCAGTTGATGGCTGATTGTATTTCTGAAGAAGTATAACCAAGTTTAAGCACTCAAATTGTCAGCACCAACAGGTCCTTAGACAGCTCTGAAGTCCAGTCACCCTGACTCCAGAAAAAGTTATACCTGACGCAGTGAAAACATATCAGGCTTTGTTTGTGCCATTTGCCATGTAAGCGGACAACAGACACTACTACTTCTCTTTGCTTTTAATGATACATAAATGCAGTGCATCCCTGCCTTCACATCATGTAAAATTGCCTGGCTTTTTCAGAACAATTTTTGAGGTAGGCTTCTCTGGAAAGAGGATGCAGATATTGAAATTCTCCAGGACATGCAGTAGGAGTCTTGGCAAGGGGGAAGTGATTGAAAGGAGGGAGGTCAAACGTAATTGACTGTCCCGTCCCCTCCCGCTTTTTTTCCTCTCCCCACTAGAACTCTGTTAGGGTGGGGGTCACAGCTCTTCCACCTGTGATTCCTGCAGAATCTATCGCAGTCCCTGCCCTGGCTCATCACACATCCTCCCTAACTGGACTTTCGCTGACTCAATGGGCGGGAAGATAAGTGTGTGGGTCCATGTGTGGCAACACTGGCGTCACACTCATCTAGTTCTGTCCTTGTTCATTTCTGCAGCCTCCTCTTCTGGCTGCCTCATAAATACTGGGGCTTCCCCAAATTAGACTCTCTGCCCTTCCTGTTCTCACTCTCTGGTGAACTTAGCCATAGCATTAAGGATGACCTTCATGCGGGTGAGTCTAAAATTTATGTGTGCAGCTCTAGCCTTTACCTTGAACTCCAAACACATAAATCTACTGCCTGGGCTAGGGAAAAGCTTTTCTTGTTATTTCACAGGTACCTCATACTCCTTATTTCCAAAATAATATTCCTCATTCATTTCTTTTTTAAATTTTATTTAAGGTATACAAATTTCATGTATTACCTATATGCACAGTCACGAACATAGTGATACTTTCTACCCTACCCTCCCTTCCACCCACGCTCTCACCCTCCTTCCTCTTCCCTCTCCTACTCCCAGTCTTATTTTTCACAAAGACCTATTTTCAGTTACCTTCATACTCATCAGGTTAGCCCTACAGTTAGTAGAGAGTTCAACAAACTGTGAAGAAAAAAACAATGTTCCTCAACAGTCAAGACAAGGGCTGTTCAAAATCCTTGCATCTCAAAGTGTCAATTTTGCTTCTATAGAATACCTTTTAGGTACTCTATTAGTTACACTGATCAGGGAAAGCATATGGAATTAGTCTTTTGAGGACTGGTTTATTTCACTCAGTATAATGGTTTCCTCCTACATACCCTTAATGTAACTTGTGACAACTGTCCCAAACCATACTCATCATCAACGACCCCACCTCCACGCCATATAGAGCACTTCTTTTGTATTTCCAGTCTCACTTGGTAGCCCCGCTGTGTACCAAGTCACTCACACTGAAAACCTTGGAGTTATCATGGATGCTAACTGTTCCTTCACTCCCACGCCTCCAAGGTCTGTTGATTTTACTTCCTAAACCTGTCTCATCTATCCCAATTTCTCCACCTGTGTGGTGTCTTTCTCTAGACCTCCAATGACGCTCCCGATGTCCGCTAATGCAGCAGCTTCCTAACCAGCTCCTGGCTGTCTCTCCCTATTTATCTGCCCCAAAGCTGTCAGGTAGACCACTACAAAATGCCAAATGATGGAACCATTTCCCTACGTTTAATTGCCTACCAACACATTAGTGAACTCTGGACTCCTTAGCACAGCATACAATGCACTGCACAATATGACACACACCGTGCCTACACGGCA